AAAAGCACCAACCGGTACTTACAAACCACCACGGGCCAGGTTCACTAATGTCCACATAGATATTATAGGACCAATGCCAGTATCTGATAGATACCGATATTGTCTTACGCCAGTAGATAGATTCACAAGATGACACGAGGCAATACCCATGATGGACATCACTGCGGAAACCGTCGCTAAATCACTTCTCCAAGGATGGATATCACGTTTTGGTTGCCCCACCGAAATTATAATAGATCGTGGAAGGCAATTTGAATCGAACCTATTTGAACACATCGGTACCCTAGCAGGATTCCAACACTAAAGATTCTGTGCGAGGCGCACTGTAAGCAGTCTTACAGTTTGCAGTCTACTTCGTCTCTATTTTGAGGGGAATCAAGATATAGACATGTACTTGGCTAGAACCGGTACAGTGTGTGAGAAACTGGGAACGCGCAACCTGATTGTCGGGGGGGACGTCAATGCGTGGAGTCAGTGGTGGGGAAGTAGCAGAGAGGATCAGAGGGGAGCGGCGGTAATATCATTCCTGAACGAGAGGGACCTCCATATCTTGAACACGGGAGACACCCCGACTTTCGAGACCCTACGCGGTGACAGGATGTTCACTAGTATAGTAGACATCACTGCGTGTAGCCTGCCACTCCTTGCTAAGATAGCGAACTGGACTGTCAATAAAAGTCTTATAACATCGGACCATAACGCCATTACTTTCAAAGTGCGCATGGGAGTGGCTCTAAAACCATTGGAGGCGAAGACCACGCGCAAATTTAACACCAAGAAAGCAGATTGGCAGATCTTTAAACAGCGTTTCGTATTAGCACTGGAGAGGGAGGGTATGCAACCAAAGAGTTTCGAAAAGGCGAAAGATGGCAGGGAACTGGAGGCCCTAATCATCAAGTACACTGATTGTATAGAAGAGGCGTCTAAAACGTCCATACCAACAGTGACAAAGGGGCGAGAAGACCCGCTGCCCCCATGGTGGAACAAGACTCTCGATAACATCAAAAAAGAGGTACTGCGAAAGAAACGCAGAATAAGAAATGCTGCACCTTACCGCAGGCAAAACGTCATTGACGAGTATGTACAGGCTAAAAACGAGTACGCTAGCAAGGCACAAGAGGCCCAAATAGAGAGCTGGAAAGAGTTTTGCTCGAAGCAGGACCGTGAGAGCATATGGGACGGCGTTTACAGAGTGCTGAGGAAGACGGCCAGGAGACAAGAAGATCTACTGCTGAGGAACTCCAATGGGGAAACCCTGGACCCAGAACAATCAGCACAACTCTTGGCAAACACGTTCTATCCCGAGGACTCTGCGGACGACGACCTACCATTCCATAGGCAAATACGAAACGCCTTCTCCGGTAAAGACAAGGAGTACGAGAGTTACTTGTCGGAGGATGATACTGTGTTTACGGAAGCGGAGCTTATTGGGGTACTGAAAACACAAAACTCCAAAAAGGCACCGGGGCCGGACGGATACACCTCCGACATATGCGGCGTGGCGATCCGATGTGATGTCAAGTTGTTTCTGGCGCTGGCAAACAGATGCCTGGCGCTGGGATACTTTCCTAAGCAATGGAAAATTGCACACGTCGTCATACTCCGAAAACCGGGGAAAGAGGACTACACCCAACCTAAGTCCTACAGGCCGATTGGATTGCTCTCGGTGCTAGGCAAGACAGTCGAGAAGCTCATGGTAACACGAATCCAATGGCACACCATTCCGGCTCTCTGTAGGAACCAATACGGCTTCATGCCCCAGCGCGGGACGGAGGACGCTCTCTACGATCTAGTGGGAGGCATCAACAGGCACCAACATAATGACAGTTCAGTGATATTGATCTCGCTGGATATAGAGGGGGCATTCGATAACGCGTGGTGGCCAGCTTTAAAAATGCAATTAGTAGACAAGAAGTGTCCGCGGAACCTGTTCCGGATGGTGTGCTCCTACTTACAAGATAGAAGAGTATTTGTCAACTACGCCGGGGCAACGAGTGAGAGGGAGACGACAAAGGGTTGTGTTCAAGGATCTATAGGGGGACCGACCTTCTGGAATGTCATACTCGACTCGTTGCTACAGGCACTAGAGGAAAAAGGGGTACAATGTCAGGCGTTCGCGGACGACGTGGCTTTGGTATTCGCCGGGTCGTCCATAGCGACCATGGAGGAAAAAGCGAATGCTGCACTGGAAGTGGTGGTAAAATGGGGGAAACGAAACAAACTTAGGTTTGCACCGCAGAAGACCCAAGCGATGCTAATAACTTACTTACTAACTTACTTAACTAACTTAACTTACTTAAATTGACTTATCAATAGAATTAAATAATTGTAAAGAAAAAATATATAACAAAGATTTAGAAATAGATGAATTATCACAAAAAATTAAACTATTAGAGAACTCGTTGTCCAATTTATCTTTGAAATACGAATCAGCTAAGAATGAAATACATGAATATTCTGATCAGTTGGATAATTTAATAAAATTAGGTAACTACAACATGGAGCGGTTTGTTTCTCTTACGGATAGATGTCACTGTAATTCACCAGAGTCTGATAACTATATCCAACCGTCCCACCATAATCAGTTGAACATTGATATCTCATCCGTCACGGAACCAGACGTTTCATGTTTACCCACACGAAACAGTACAAAAGTAAATAAATGCAGCACTGTACATGAAACCATCAGGAGAACAATTGTTTATTCAGATGAATTTGGCAAGGATTTAGGTAGTTTATTATCGAACTGCCTCTCGCAAAAAGTAATAAATAATTGTTTTCCGGGATCAGGTATATATAAGATTATAAAAAATATAGTAAATGAAAAATATGATATTCATACGACCCTAGTAATAGCGTTAGGGAATTGTTTGCATATGCGTAAATCTGATATAGTTAATTTAATAAAATCATTATATAATATAGTGGAGCTTGGTATAGGTAAAATATTATTATGCGCATTTCCCTACTCTCAATCCTTGACTAATGAACAGAATAAGTTCATTTATAGTATAAATAATTTAATTTATTCGATGACATATCATTGTAATGATATATTTTATTTTGAAAGTAACAAATTTGTTACAAATTATTATATGACGGGAGGTAATTTTTATCTTCCTAAAAAACAAAAAAAGACTATTGCTAGTTTACTAGCGTATAACATTTATGATCCCATTATAAGTAGTATAACGGGTTTAATTAGTAATATTAGTAATTATACTAATAATGTGACATGTGTTAATTTAAACTAACATCTACGACATTGGTTAAGCCACAGGATATGGTCATTATTCATCAAAATATTCGTGGCTTCTCCAGCAAAGAATTAGAATTAAGTCTTTTCTTAGAATCTAACAATGTACGGGTGTTATGTCTGACAGAACATTGGCTTAAACAATATGAAATAATTTGTCCTTTTGAACATTATAATATAGCTAGTTTTTTTGCTAGGAACAATGCCATTCATGGCGGGTCAATTATTATTTTAAAAAATGATGTAGAATATAAAAACCGTCAAGACATTGTAAATATTTCTATTGAGCAAACAATTGAACTATCTTGCGTAGAATTAGTTACTTGTATAATAATTTGCGTTTATCGTCCGCCAACGGCTTGTTTTGATTCTTTTGAACTGGCTATGGAGGAAGCATTGAGACGAGTCGCACGGAGGAATAAAACATTATTTGTATGTGGCGATTTTAATGTTGATTTATTATCGGAATGCTCAATAAGCTTAAGATTGATTAACTTATTTAAATCATTTAATTTGCACAATCTTTTTTTAGAACCCACTAGGGTCGCAGGAAATTCTGCCACTTGTATAGATAATGTTTTTTGTAATTGTGAAGTAAAGGTGAAAATGAATTTCGACTGTCTTGGATCTGATCATTACGGACAAAAAGTTATAATTGAAACTAAGGGATCCAAAGGGACTCAAACAATTACATGCAGACAAATAACACAAAAGAATTTGGCACGTTTTAAAAATAAAATTGAACATAAAATATCTAGTGTCATAGTACCTCAATATGACCCGGACATTGTATGTGAACATATTTTTAATTTAATTGAACATGAAGCTAGCAGTGAATTTAAAACAAAAACATTTTCAACTAGTGTAAAATCAAAGTTTTGTGACTGGGCCACGTTTGGTATTTATAAGTCTAGGGCTAATCTTTACGAACTTTACGAAAAACGAAGCTATATATCCGATCCCTTATTTCATGAACATGTAAAATCTTATTCGAAAATATTTAAAAAGGTTTGTCATACAGCTAAGTCTCTCTATTTAGGTAAAATAATAACTAAATCTAAAGATAAAATAAAAGCCACTTGGAAAGTAATAAATAGCGAAACTGGAAAAGTTAATTTTCAAAACAGCAAAATAGCTTTAAATATTAATAACAAATTGGTAAATTCCGACACAGAGGTCGCGCATACATTCGAATCTTATTTTACTAATATTCCATTAATTACGACACAGGCTCTAAAATCTTCCCCGTCTGCTGCTGAAACTTTACTAACAGACAATGTTAGCAAGTCATCAGCTGTATTTAACTTTAGACATACATCATCAGTAGAAATAATGAAAATATTCAAACAACTTAATAATAAAAAAACAGAGGATCTATGGGGTATATCTGTTAAAATACTGGATAGTATAATGGAAATTATTGCGCCCTCTCTTGCTTTTATTTTCAATAAATGTATAGATGAAGGTAAATTTCCTAACATAATGAAAATTAGTAAAATCATACCGCTTTTTAAATCTGGAGATAGGAGTGACCCAATAAATTATAGACCTATATCCATACTCCCAGCACTCAGTAAAATTTTTGAAAAAATAATCCTTATGCAACTTGTCAGTTATTTCAATTTAAATAATTTAATCCACAATAGTCAATTCGGTTTTTCCAAAGGTCGTTCAACTACAGACGCAGGTGCAGAGTTGCTTAGACACGTATTTGCTGCATGGGAAACTAAAATGGATGTGATAGGTGTTTTTTGTGACCTTTCTAAGGCTTTTGATTGCGTTGATCATAATACATTGCTAAAAAAACTTGTGTAACGGGTGAACACGTTATTTATTGAAAATTGTATTACAACATATTACAATATTTAACAACAAAACAGTATTGTATGATATCACTAGGACACTCATCGCCCAACTACTCTCTCGTTCGTTAGTCGCGAACTTTCTCGAAGCGCGAGAGGCGCGCTCCTATTGGTCGGTCGCGCGGTTACCGCGCGACGCGCCTGCGCTGTACGTTTAGATGGGTCTCACGGCGTAGGTACTTACTATGCGTGCGTAATATATATACCTTTCGGTGTTACAGCCTCCCCCTCTAGTCCAAACAAGGCGCCCTCGCGTTTGGAGTAGCACCTGGACATTCGCATCAGATTTTTTTATGATTTACGTGGACGTCCCCTCCTGCGCTTTTCTTGCAGAGGCTGTTGCAATTGACCCACAAATGGAACCAATTGCGACGAATGGTACTTCCCTAATACCTCTCCGTTGCTCCGCTCTAAAAGGTAAGTCGAAATACTTAACACTTTGCCTATCTTATAAGGACCGTCGCGCCTAGGGATGAATTTGGGAGTCTGCCCTCGACCGGCGTCGTTTGGACCCTGAGTTTTTAGCAAGACTAGATCACCCACCTCATATGCAGGAGTAGCACGTCGAGCTCCATCGGCATACTTCTTGTAGTACGCCTGCCTCTTTTCGTGTGTGTCTCTAGCATCCAAAAGGGCTGTAGATAGCCTTCTGAGATAGGGCGTAATATTCGGAATGAACCGGTCGTTGTCAGCGATAGCACGCATATCGTTGACAACATCGGCAGGGGCGCGCATCTCTCGCCCAAACATCAGCATGGCTGGCGAGTAGCCAGTGCTGTGAGTTACAGCTGAATTCATAGCGAACCTCACAGTAGTCAAGTGCAAATCCCACGTAGCGTGATCTTGACCCACGTGGATGGCAAGTTGCGGCTTTTAGTCGCGGTTCTTACGCTCGACTGGGTTCGCCTCGGGGTGATAATACGGAGTCAACGACTGTTCAATCTTGAAGACATGGCAAACCTGCTGCATGACCTCGCTAACAAACTGAACGCCATTGTCGCTGACCATCCTGCGAGGGACCCCAAACCTTAAAAATACCTCATCTATCAAGATTTTAGCACAATCCATGCTGGTGGCACTCTTTAGTGGAAACAGCTCTACCCAACGCGAACAGACATCTTCGACAATGAGTATCCATCGGTTTCCGGCATCCGTCTCCGGAAGGGGACCAAAAAGATCCACAGCAACCACCTCGAAACGTTGCGTTACAGCGGGTGACTGGATAAGTCCCGCTGGTTTACGAGTATCTACCTTGTATCGCTGACACGGTACACATTCTTTTACATATGCTGCAATATAAGCTCTCATACCTGGCCAATAATATCGCGATGCTACACGTTGGAGTGTACGTTCCACTCCCAGATGGCCCGCTGTCGGTGCATCGTGGTAATCGGCGAGGATCTTCTGTCTCTCACTGGCAGGTACCACTAAACAAGCGTCGTCGCTTTCATCAGTTTCAGGCCCGTACCTATATAATACACCGTCTGAAACAACATAACCACGGTCGGACCATTGTCTCCCCCTAAACGGTTCGTCTTCCGCTTCAAGATCTTCGAGGATTTTGCGAACGTCGGGGTCTTGCAGCTGCAATCTCCTATAATCGCGAGCATTTGTTGATGGTACGTCGACAACGACCTGGCAAAGATCACAGTTCTCGGGACATGCCGGACGCGATAAGGTGTCAGCGAGGACGTTCGATTTACCTGGGGTGTACTCAATACGAAGATTGAATTCTTGCAGAGTAAGCGCCCATCTGGTTAAACGTCCGCTCGGCGACTTTACACTCATCAGCCATTTTAACGGCTGATGATCTGACTTTACGATGACCTCGGCGCCTTCAATATACCCACGGAATTTCGTTACGGCCCATACTACAGCGAGAGCTTCCCTCTCGGTGGTTGTGTAATTACGTTCAGCCTGCGTCAAGAGACGGCTAGCGTATTCAACAGGGCGCTCTTCCGGGCCCTCCCCCTGCCCCGAGGCAATACCCACTACTATCAGTCCTAATGATGAACGCTTGTCTTTCGTCGGCTTGACGAAGTATCGGAGCCGAAACAAGCAGCCTTTTGATGTGATCAAACGCAGCTTGCCTGTCTGTGGTCCACAGCCAAACACTGTTCTTTTTAAGAAGCGCCGTTAGCGGCCTCGCCACATCTGCGTAATTAGGAATAAAACGCCTAAACCAACTGGACGTTTGCAGAAAACACTTTAGATGCGTAATATTCTTCGGCGCTGGCATGTTGTCAATAGCGGCCGTCTTGTCAGGATCGACTTGGATTCCGCCTGGAACGATAAGATGACCCAAAAATTTCACAGAGCCGCGGACGAAGGAACTCTTCTCCCGGTTGGCTCTCAATCCAAATAGCTCTAACCTGGCGAAGACGGCATTAAGGTCTTCAATGTGCTTTTCGAAGCTATCAGATAAAACAATCAGATCATCTAAATAACACAGCAGACAGACATTTTGCAGGTTAGACCTGAATCTGTCCATTAAACGCTGGAATGTAGCGCCAGAATTGCGTAGGTCCATAGGCATACGCTTAAACCTATAGGTGCCTAATGGCGTGACAAACGCAGTTTTGTCACGATCCTCTTCAGCGACATTGACCTGAAAGTACCCAGATCGCAGGTCCAAAGTGGACATAAACTTGCTAGTCTTAGCAGCGTGGAGCACATCATCCATCCGCGGCAGAGGGTAACGATCGGGTTCTGTAACCGCATTGAGTTTCCTATAATCGATGCACAACCGCGCAGCTCCATCCTTTTTACTCACCAAAACCACGTTAGCTGCCCATGGTGATTCGCACTCTTCGATCACGTCAGTGGACAGGAGCTTTTCCAGCTCTCGTTCAAGAATCGCCCTTTTCCCAGGCGACATGCGGTACGGCGGCGAAGCGATGGGTTCCTGCTTTTCACTTACCTTTATGCGGTGAGTGATGAAACTGGTAGGTTCGCCTTCCGCGGCGAAGCGATCTACCTTCTCGGCTAGTAGCTTATTAAGCTGGGCGCGCTGGCCCTCTGAGAGGTCGGCGCCCTCATCTTCTCTTAAGTTCTGAAAAGTGTCGACATAAAACATGTCCTCGTCAGTCTCCGACCGGAGTCTGTAACTTTGCACAAAATCGTAATTGCGCTCAGGTTCATCTACAAAATACCATGAACGTTGAGGTATATTCAGCACCATACCCGCGCTTTGAATAAAGTCTCCTCCAAGAAGCGTCTTTGTATCCGCTCCGGGTATGACTAAAAATGTGGTAAGTATCCTACGATTTTGTAATTTAACAATAACATCGCTAGTAAACACAGTACACACTTTTGCGGTACCGTCGGCTAAACGAATAGAACGTTGCGTTTCTAAGAAACGTGCGTTACTACGCTGTAACACACGATAGAGCATCGGGCTAGCAATACAATGCGTGGCACCGGTGTCCACCATGGCGACACCTTCAAAATCCCCAATACCGATGTCGATCAAGGGTCGCTCCCGGTCAGACTCCATAAAGGCGTTGCTTATCTCAATTGAATTCATAATACATTCGCGGGAGGGAATGCGACAAGCCTTTGATGAGCTAACGTTATCGGATGAAAAAGTGTGAAATCGAAATTTATCGGGAATCGAACCCGGTTCAAAATACGATTTAGTACACGACGGTTCACTATTATTACTATTAAAGCATAAGGACGTTCTACGTAATACGGACATCGTTTATTATAATCAAAATTTGTTACAGAATAGAGACGTTCTCCAGAATACGCCCTTTCGTTATTCGAAACCGTTCCTATGCAAGTAGGTATATTGGTCGGCGAACTCAAACATGGTTTGTCTGTACTATAGTTATAAACATAGGTATGGTTGTTATCTATAATTGCCGAATTGAAATCTGGACCTTTAGAATAGACTTTTTTATCTTTACAGTTTCCGCATTTCGACCGAATAACGCCTGCTTGTCCGCAACCATAGCAACGGACCGTGTCGTCGTTGCCGGTCGGCTGTTGTTTGGATTTTCTACAATCTTCTAGACGGTGCCCATAATTTTTACAATACGAACAACGTAGTCGTTGTGTTTTAGGAGCCGTGTTTGCACTAGAAGGGGGCGCGGGGCCAACGGAGGTTGACGGGTTCAATGACCTATCAGCTGTTTTATTATTATAAGCTTTTGTATTACTTACAGTTTTCCCGGACAAGTTATACTGTACCTCCGCCATGGACTCCTCTACATCGCGTAATTTTATCACTAAACTGTCCAGGGACACTATAGTATCGCGCGGAACACGTTTACGAATTTTATATGATAATAGGCCGTACACAATGTCCACTTGCGCGGCTTCACAAAGTTCATATGGCAGTTTAGTTAAGAGAGCCCTAACTCTACACACAAAAACTTCACTCTTCTGGTCGTCGGGTTGTTCTTGAGAGAAAATTTCACGGAATATTTTGTACCCCGGCTTCGTGGCTCCGTACATCGTGCGGAGGCGGAGAACGGCTTCGTCCCAGTCGCGCACGTCTCTCTTGATGCCCTGCCACCAAATCGCTGCGTCCCCGCCCAGCAGCATGGGCAGGCCGCGCAGCGCGTGCTCGTCGCTGACGCTGGTGCATTCCTTGTAGACCAGAATAGCGTCGATGAATGCCTCTATTGCTTCATTATCCCTGGATTCTCCGTGGAATCGAGCCGTACACCTACTAAAGTCACCGCTTTGAAGGACGGGCGTGGCTCCGCTCGCCGCAGTCGTTCCGGGCGTCGCTGGTGTAGACGATCTCAGTGGTTGGGGAAATACTGAACACAGCGTTTCGATGAGAGTCCTGTTTGTTTCGGCTTGGTTCCTTGTGAACGCTTCCATGTTCCTCGCGAATGCTTCCATCACTGACTGGTTGTGTGACATCGACGGAAGGTGCGTTTGTGGGGGGACTCCACTGGTCAGCTCGCCCACTTCCTGCAGCTCTTCGTCTTCTACTACCTTGTCCAGCTCTGGACGATTCGCGCCTCGTCTAGGCATAGTTCGGCCACTAGTTGAGCGCCAATGTAACGGGTGAGCACGTTATTTATTGAAAATTGTATTACAACATATTACAATATTTAACAACAAAACAGTATTGTATGATATCACTAGGACACTCATCGCCCAACTACTCTCTCGTTCGTTAGTCGCGAACTTTCTCGAAGCGCGAGAGGCGCGCTCCTATTGGTCGGTCGCGCGGTTACCGCGCGACGCGCCTGCGCTGTACGTTTAGATGGGTCTCACGGCGTAGGTACTTACTATGCGTGCGTAATATATATACCTTTCGGTGTTACACTTGCTTTTTATGGCGTCAAAGACAATGCTTTAAATTTAATAAAATCTTATCTATCTGATAGAATACAGAAAGTGAAGATTAGCAACGCTACGTCTGACGGGTCACTTGTGCAAATGGGTGTACCTCAAGGATCTATTCTCGGTCCATTTTTATTCCTAGTTTACATTAATGATCTCCCATATGCCATGCAGGATAGATGCGGCATAGTATTGTTTGCAGACGATACTTCATTGATTTTTAAAGTTAATAGAATGACTAATAATTATGACGATGTAAATAGTGCTTTGCGGCGTCTCCTGCACTGGTTTACAACTAACAATCTTATGTTAAACGCTAAAAAAACAAAATGTGTTAATTTCTCTCTATCTAAAAGTTTTAATACTAATTGCAATATTAAATTAAATGACGAATCTCTCGAATTTATAGAATCTACTGTCTTTCTAGGAATCACACTAGATAATAAAACACAATGGGGTGCACAAATTCAAAGCCTTGCAGCGAAACTAAGTTCAGCAGCTTTTGCCGTGCGTAAAGTTAGACAGTACACTGATACTGATACTGCTAGATTAGTCTATTTTAGTTATTTTCATAGTTTACTCTCTTATGGAATATTACTATGGGGAAAAGCGGCAGATATTAAGAATATATTCATATTACAAAAACGTGCCGTTCGAGCGATCTACTGTATGAAGAGTCGTGACTCATTAAGAGAGAAATTCAAAGAGGCAAATATTCTCACCGTTGCTTCTCAATTTATATATTCAAATATTCTATATGTTCATAAAAATCTTGATTTATTTCCAAAAAACAGCAATATTCATAATATTAATACTAGATTTAAAGACAAACTTGCTGTCCCCAAGTATCGTTTAGAAAAAGTTAATAGGTCTTTTATGGGAATAGGTATAAAAATTTACAATAAGATACCAAAGAATATGTTGGAATTACCCTTAAATAAATTCAAAACATCTGTTAAATCATATTTACTGAGCAAAGCCTATTACTCACTAAACGATTACTTGAATGACGAGTGTGCATGGCAATAGTTGTTCATGCACTGAATTTTCATTTAATGTTAGACATAGACACCTATATAAATATACATTGTAAATAAACTGGCTTTAAAAAAAAAAAAGTAATTAAATTGAGTTTCTTGCCAGTTCTTCTCAATTGGATCTATATACCGAACTGGACGGTAGGGAAAATATAAAATTATAATGTAAAAATTTGACGTTCATAAGCGGCTAAAATGTCCTACATGAATAAATGATTTTTGAATTTTGAATTTTTTTGAATTTTAACAAAAAAGCTTAAGTTCGTGCCACCATGCATCACTATGGAAGGCTGCCAACTAAACCTGGTCAAACAAATGAAGCTACTAGGAGTCATCATAGATCACAAAATTACCTTCAACGCGCATGTGGCCGCAATATGCAAAAAATCTACGGATATATATAAACAACTAGCATGTGCGGCGAAGGCTACATGGGGACTTAACGGCGAAATCGTCAGGATAATCTACATAGCGGTCATCGAGCCGATCGTGACGTATGCGGCATGTGCATGGAGCCAAGCGGTCGAACTCCAAACCAACGTCAAGCTATTGGAGTCGATGCAAAGAGGGTTCGCACAAAAAGTATGTAAAGCGTACAGAACGGTATCGCTCACCTCGGCGCTGGCTTTGGCCGGGATGCTCCCCCTGGATTTGCGGATCCAAGAGGTAGCCAGCCTATACAAAGCAAAAAAAGGACTATCAAACGACTATTTACCACCAAACAAGATGCTCGAAACCAAAATAGGAATAATGAATCTACCACATCCGTCATCGTCAATATCCACGGAATACGAGCTCTTGGAGAGTCTGGACACTAAAAACCCCCTAGTGGGCCCCCACATTTATACAGACGGCAGCAAAATAGACGATAAAGTCGGAGCTGCTATAACATTTATTTATTTATTTATTCATTAGTACAAATATGTGTACATGGCGGACTTAATGCTAAAAGCATTCTCTCCCAGTCAACCATAGGGAAGTGTCAGAATACTCGAATGCGGTACTACTAATTATTGATATACATACGTACTAAAATTACATATATAAACGAATAAATATATATAAATAACAAATATACTTACACATATATGACATATACTATATTATACACGAAATTGAGAATAATATAAAGTACTTACTGCTCGGATAAAAATAAAAAGTGTGCGTTAACGCTTTTTTTGAAAGACGGTTTAGTCGGTAGTCTCTTAATGGCATCAGGAAGCGCGTTCCAGAGTCGTGAAGAATGTAGGAGAAAAGAGTTTGAAGCGTAACCAGTACGGTGAGAGGGGAAGGATAATTGGAGAGTATTATTGGAACGAAGGTTACGTTCGTGAGTTTCAAAAAGATAATGGAATTTACTCCTTAAGTAGTTAGGAGACTGGGGGTTTCGAAGAAGAGTGTAGAGGGTACAAAGAGTTCTAACGTTTCTGCGTTGACGAATGGAAAGCCACTTGAGCTGAGACCGATATAAAGAAATGTGATCGAATTTGCGGAGGTTGAAGATAAAGCGTATAGCTTGGTTGAGGAGACGGTCCAGCTTATCGAGAAGATCTTCATTAAGATCTGGATAACACACATCAGCATAATCAATAATCGGAATAATAAGTGCGTGAACAAGATTAATTTTTGTAGCGATAGGCAAAAAGTTTTTAAAGCGATATAAGGAGCGTAGCGTAGCAACAACTGAGCGACTTACCTCCGCAACTTGATGTGACCAACTGAGTGATGAGTCTATGTAAAGGCCAAGATCTTTAACACAAGTTTTTAATTTTATAACTAAATTGTTAAATGTAATTGGTGCCATTGTGTTAACATTAAGTTTAGCTAATTGTCTAGAACTGCCAATTACAACAGCATGACACTTAGAGGGGTTAACAGCTAATCCATAGTTAGACGACCATGCCAGAATGCTATTCAGATCGTTATTAATATTCGCTACAGATTGATTGATATCATCTACAGTGCTCTGAGTGTATATCTGAAGATCGTCTGCGTAAAAGTGGTAATGACAGCCAAGGACAAGAGAAAGAAGATTAATAAAAATAGAGAACAATAAAGGAGAAAGGATCCCACCCTGAGGCACTCCGGCAATCAATTCCTGCCAGTCTGAGAGTTTATGGTCAATGCGAACTGCCTGTTGTCGACCACTCAGATAGGAGGAGAACCAGTTTAATGCAGAAGATGAGAACCCATTACTTTGCAAAATGGCAAGGAGAATTTTGTGGTCTACCATATTAAAAGCGTTGGAGAAGTCAATAAGAACGAGAATAGTGACCAAACCATCATCCATGCCAAATCGAATGTCTTCAGTGACTTTTAGAAGAGCAGTGGTGGTACTGTGTCCAGGGCGAAAACCGGATTGAAAAGGAGTTAAAATTTTATTTTTATGAATAAAGCTGGACACCTGCTTATTTGCTACACTCTCCAGGATTTTGGACAAAAAGGGAAGAAGAAAAATGGGGCGAAAATCATTTAGGGATTGAGGTACTGAGACCTTTGGAAGAGGGAGAACAATTGCATTACGCCACAGAGAGGGGAAGTTACCAGACGAAAAGGAGAAGTTTATAATGTGAGTAATTACTGGAGTAATGTGATCCAATAGAGCTGTGATCATATCTCGACTTACACCATCATATCCCATAGCCTTAGATTTTATAGACAATATAGTTTTACGGGTTTCGTCGTGAGTTATTGGAGAAAAAGCGAAATTATCTTCAGATGAAATCGATTGAACTATATTGGAGATAGTAGCTAATTTAGTCGATGAATTGATACAATTGGTGGATGAAAAGTGACGGTTAAGTTCATTTGATGTGAATGGGTAGGAAGTAGAATCAGATTTACTTTTCCCAAGACCAAGAGAACGTAAAAACTTCCAAATGCTGGTTGAAGAAGCATTCGAAACATTATTGTGAAAATGTTGTCTCTTAGCTGCCCTTACCATTTGGTTGCATCTATTCCGTGCAAGTTTGTAAATTATTATATTATATTATTATATTATTCTAGTTTATAAATTATTATATTATATTAATTAAGAAGCAAGCCATATAATATTACAATGATGGTGAACGAAACTAACGGTGTAATCATTAGCTGTAAGTGCCATGATTGTGCAGCTTCGGCTGGTGGATGTAAGCATGCAGTTGCCTTTTTGATGTGGGCTCATCGTCGCAGTGAAGAACCCCCATGCACATCAGTAGAGTGTTACTGGAAGAAACCTATTCTATCTAGAGTAGGTACTACTCTCAAGTACATCACAGTTACCCACCTGTGTAACAAAGTAGTACCTTATAGACCAAGTTCATCAGTAGTTTATGATGATTTTATTTCCAAGGCAAAGAAAAAGATTATTGATACCTGTGAACTGCTAAAATATCAACATGATTTCAAACATACTGGTGTTATGCAATACTCTCTGCATATCTCATGATAAATCAATGTCAGGAAATTGAAATGGATGTAGAGAAGCTTATAGAAGCCATGAAGGCAACATTTGATGTCGCTGCAATACAGATGATTGAAAGAACAACAAGAAAACAGAATAAGACTAGCTTGTGGTATGAAATTAGATATGGTCGTATTACTGCTTCTAAAGCGCATGAAATGAGTATTTGCCGTACATCAGATGGCTCATTAGTTGCTGCAATTTTGGGTGCCAAAATACCTGACACTGTTTCCATGAAAAGGAATAGGAATTTGGAGGAAATAGTAAGGAAGACAATCAGTAAGAAATTAAGAATCAAAATTGATTTTTATGGTTTGTATGTGTGTCATATCCCATGATTGCAGCTTCACCTGACGGTGTAGGTAATCATGCCATTATAGAAACAAAGTGCCCTAGTAAAGCAAAATCTATGGATAAATATTTAAAAAATGGTGTTATATCTGATAAATGTAAAGCCCAAGTGCAATTACAAATGTATGCTGCTGGTGTAAAAAAGTGTTGATTTAGCAATAGGACCCCTTTTCTTCTTGG